CTTAGATGATCATTTCTGTATATTTCTACAGCAAAGAGCAAAGATTCTGCCTGGCCCATACTTTCTCACTACATCTATGATTGTTGACCCATTTGAATCTTAAATATGGCTGCTCAACTTGAATGTTGCTGGAACCCTGGACAGTGGGATACAGATGAAAGTTCCTTTGGTTAGCAGCTTGAGCTGCAGGTCTGGTGGGAGGGGCACATATAAATTAACATTGACTATGGTTTTTAGTAGAATCTGGGGCCAGTTTTTGCTCTTGGTGAAATCAACCATTTTATGCTTAGAGTAAGGGCATTTACTGTGAAATGCTTTTCAACAGAAAACATCTTGTGGCTGAGTCTGCCTGGAAAATTGTGTGTGTGCGTGTGTGTGATTTTGGTTGGGTCTGGGTAGGGTGAAAAGTATGGTATTAGACTTGAACAAGATAGTGGGAATATACCTTAGTGTGGTCTGTGTTTCACAGGCGAGGGGAGGGGATCCTCTAGCCTTATTTTGGAACAAGAACTGAGAATTCTTGGGATTGGGACTTGATAGCGTAGGGATGGGGCAATCTATTGAGGGTTAAGTAGTTAAGATCTGGTATGAATGGAGGGAAAAAGGTTTAGGGGATGAAATGGTAAGATCTAGCAACTCTGTTCTTGGGCATGTGACCTTAGGTTGAGAAATATGTATACGTATGTGCATTTGTGTACATGCGTGAACTATATTGCTGGAGGGTATAGGTTGTGAGCTTCAAGTATAGGATACCTAAACTCAGATCCCATCTCTACCACTTACTATTTGTACAATCTCGTAAATATTTTTTTGAATGTCTCTGGGCCGTCAGATGTTCTTTTCTTAATTTCTTGTTCTCTGGAAGGTTAATGAATTGCCAAGAAGCTTGTACCTTCCAGAGACCAGGGACTCAGAATCTCTTCCAAATTCCCTGTGTCTTTTCATGGAGGAGCAGGGGAAGAAAGGAACTTTGGGTTCCTTCAGATGTCAAGCCTTGCCTGTGCATCAAGGGTGGAAAGGGCTCTGAATGGATTTGGGGAAACCGGTATCTTTCCGTAGCCAGCCCTATGGTCATCAGCAAGTCACTTGCTCTTTCAGGGAGGCTCTAGTGTGAATTATATTTTGTTGAACATTGATCCTCTGATAATAGGCAATCTGTGTTTGAGACCTTTTGGTAAACACAACATTGTATTAACAAGGATACATCGTTATTGGACCACTTTGGAAAGTGCAAAGAGCAACACACCAGAAGAGTGAGATTTCCTGCTCCCTAGCCACACTGGAGATTGTGTCAGTGCTTCTAAAATGGCTCTTTTTAGTTTATACCTGTTCCATATCTTTGAAGTGAAGCTAATAATATCTGTTCACTAGGCTTTTCTGTGCTTTAATCTTACTAATTCCCTGTCAAGAACCTTCAGTGGTTCCCTGATCCATACCAAATTATGCTTTCTCATCCTGGCTTTTAAGTCTCTCCACAGTTTGAAGACAATATTTATAATGAATACTTATAGAGTATTTTACAGTTTGTAGATTTATCCCAAGGATGCAAGTATGGTTTAGTATTAGAAAATATATGTGTCATTCATCACATTACAAGATTAAAGGAAAAAACCCATATGAACATCTCATTAGATACACAAAGACGTTCGATAAAATTTAGCATAACTTTATGACTTAAAAACTCTTAATAAAAATAGAAGGGAATTTTCTTAATCTGACAAAAAACATTTACAAAAATCCTGTAACAAACATACATAATGGGGGAACATTAGAAACATCTTTAAAAGCAGGGATATGACAATACTACTCATTAGCATCCTTTCTGTTTGACATTGTGTGACCATCCTAGCCAGTGCAAACTTTTTTCAAAAAAGAAATTAGAGGCCTAAGAATTTGATAGGAGAAAAATCTCTGGCATTATATGCAGATAATATGACTGTCTACATAGGACACCTAATTTATGTTCAAATAGTTAGGAATAATAGGAACATTGACAATGGCTGGATATATGATCAATTTGCAAAAATCAATTGCATTTTATAAACTGTAACAATCAGAGAACATAATTTAAAAATACATCATTTCTATTACAAAAGAGCAATAAAAACCATAAAGTACTTAGGAATAAATCTAATCAAACGTGTAAGGTCTTCATACAGGAAAATCTAAAAGTTTGAGTGACATTAAAGAAGACTTAAATAAATGGAGAGAGATCCTGTGTTCATAGATAGGAGGGCATAGTATCAGAAAAATGATGGTTCTATCCAAATTGATCTATAAGTTCAATGCAGTTTTTGTCAAAATCCCACTCAAGTTCTTTACGGAATTTGACAAGCTAGTCAAGACACTTCTCAAAAATAATAATAGGATTGGGAATTTCCCTGTCAGATATCAGACCTTATTATAAAGCTACAGAAATCATGTGGTACTGGTACAGAGACAGACAAACTGACCAGTGGAATAGGTTAGTAAGTCAAGAAATAAATCTGTTTATATCTGGAACTTTAATATATGACCTAAGATGGCATAACAGATGCATGAGAAAAATAAAAGTTTTAAATACATCGAATTCATGGAGAAAATGAGATCCCTATGTCATATCCTGACATAAATATCGGTATCAGGACCTGGCACAGTGGCTCACGCCTGTAATCGCAGCACTTTGGGAGGCTGAAGTGAGCAGATCACTTGAGGCCAGGAGTTTGAGAACAGTCTGAGCAATATGGTGAAACTCCCCATCTCTACTAAAAATACAAAAATTAGCCAGGTGTGGTGGTGCACACCTGTAATCCCAGCTACTTGAGAAGCTAAGGCACGAGAATCACTTGAACCCAGGAGGCGGAGGTTGAACTGAGATCTGCACTCCAGTCTGGATGTCAGAGTGAAACTATCTCAAAAAAAGAGAAAAAAATCAGTATCAGATGAAATAAGGGCTTAAATACTAAAAGCAAAAATGTTAAACCTTTAGTAGAACATAGCAGATAATGTTTTTCTAGCTTTGTAGTAAAGAAAGACACCATAAAATAAATTATGCTTATGGAATTTCTCATCTTTTGAAGAAATTTTTCATCTTTGCTGGTTGCTTCCCCTTCTGATCACATTTGCTGGCTTGAGACTTTCTTCACCTGCTTTAAACACACAACTCTAAGCATCCTCCTTTGTGCACATCTTCCTCTGCTCAGCTAACTTCCTTGTACACAGAATCCAGACAGTCCCAAAGTTCAGATATTCATGGCTTACATTTGCATGATGAACTGACGGTGGGGAAGGGAGTCAAAAGAGGAGTCTGTTATGGTCAGACAAGCTGTGGGTCTGCCACGCTGGTTGTATTTGAATGTTCCAGTAGTTACGAATTCCAGTGTGAGATCTATAGGGATTCTCAGGCCTCTGAAATATACTCTCAATCATAGAAGCCTCTTTCTCTAGCCAGTCTGCAAAGTTAAGTGGTAGCATGGATAGAGGCTCACTAGGGAAAATCAAAGGATAGTACCATCATTGTCCTAGAGTTGGAGTGAACTATGGGTCCCCGAATCTATACAAGTGGAGAAGGTTCTGTTGTCCTAGTAGCAAAGCAAAGCTTCACCTGGTTCAAACAGGTAACTCCAAGGTCTCACACTTGACCTGGGAGCTGAATGGTTTCACCAATTTGGGGAGAAACACCTTTCCTTGCTCATTCTTTTGATTCCTTTTTTCCAGCTTCCATAAAGTTGAAAGATGTTGCTCAGGAGTTGTTGGGTAACTAGCTGGCACCCCACAGGGATTTGAATTATTTTGTCTTTCTCTTTCACTTTTTTTAAAAGACAGAGTTGTGCTCTGTTGCCCAGTCTGGGGTGCAATGGCATGAAACTCCTGAGCTCAAGCAGTCCTCCTACTTCAACCTCCTGAGTAGCTGGGACTACAGGCATGAGCCACCATACCCTTGTCTCTTGATTTCAGTAGAGAAAGCATTGAGATTATGGTTGACTCTTGCTAGATTTTACTTACTCAGTTAGTCTACACAGATAGCCTTTCTTTCCGTAATACTTATAATCCTTTTGTCTTTCTATGGGATTACAGTTTCCCAAAAGCTTTTGCTGTTGTTCCACTGCTTCTTGGAGTGTAGCCAATGTGATTTTTCTAAAGCACAGATTTGTTTACCTGCTTTCTGTCCTAATTCTCTGTTTAAAACCCTTTGATGGCTTCTCATTATTTCAGAAAGAAATCCAAACTTCTTAGCTTTGCTTATATGACACTTAAAAGGCTGCTCAGTCTTCTAGTTTTTTCTCTTGATAGTCCCTCTTGTGCTCTCCTCTAGTTTTACTGAACTGCCAGTACTTTGAACACACTTTGTGCTTTTTCTCCTCCAGGTCTATGTGTATACTGTTTCCTCTGCCTGGAATAATCTTCTTTCTCTTTACCTGGCTTGTTTCTGTTCTTTCTTCAGGTCTCAGATTCTAGGAAGCTTTCCATCAACCTGTCATCACTGGGACGAGTTGGCCATCCCCTGTGCTTCTGTAGCTTCTATCAAATCATAATACTTAAGATGTGATGTTTAAATGTTTACTTGGCGTTCTCCTCTACTGAACTCTAAGCTTTGTGAGGGTAGTGACGGTGGCTTTGTCTATTGTTTTGTTTCCCTTAAATCTAAATGTGTGCCTGGCACATAGTAGCCTCCAGTAAATGCCTGTTTAATGAACAAACAAACCTGTGAAGTGAGTGATAGAGTGCTTAGTCCCTTTCAATTTTCAGGTTGGAGAGATGGAGAATGAGGACCTCACACAAAATCACACAGTACTTGGTGGCAGAAGCTGAACTATGACTTTCCTTCCCTCAGAGGAATGCACTTTGCATTGGAAGATACGAAGAAATTCCCAGTACATTGTCTTTCCTACTGGGTCTGTGTGAGAACAGGCTGATAGATGCCTCTGGTGGGTGGGTAAATGCATGAGCTTTTGGCAGTTGGATGAACGGGTTTACCAATGAGTGATTCTCTTTCCCTCTCTCTTCCTTCCTGTTCAAAGCATCAAGCTGAGCTCCCAGACTCTGATACAGGCTGGAGATGATGAGAAGAACCAGAGGACGATCACTGTCAACCCTGCCCATATGGGGAAAGCATTCAAGGTTATGAATGAACTGCGGAGGTACTTTTTCTATCTTGTCTATGCCCTTGCAGAAGGAACTTGTCCGTGAGCTTCATCAAGGACTAAGAATAGAAGTCAGAATATGACCACTTAGGGAATTCTGACTCTTTCCACCCACTCTCAGTCACTTGGTTTCCCCTTTCTTTCTCTCTGTCTCTCTCTCTTTTTTTTTTTTTTGAGATGGAGTCTCACTCTGTCACCCAGGCTGGAATGCAGGTGACGTGATCTTGGCTCACTGCAACCTCTGCCTCCCGGGTTCACGCCATTCTCCTGCCTCAGCCTCCTGAGTAGCTGGGACTACAGGTACATGCCACCATGCCCAGCTAATTTTTGTATTTTTAGTAGAGATGGGGTTTCGCCATGTTGGTCAGGCTGGTCTCGAACTCCTGACCTTGTGATCCACCTGCTTCAGCCTCCCAAAGTGCTGGGATTACAGTTGTGAGCCACTGCGCCTGGCAGGTTTCCCCTTTCAAACTCTGCTTGAGAAAGAATGACTTTGCCAGAAAACTGTCTTTCCTTTGTATGTATTTAACACCTATCATTTTAATGATTAATCACAGGGGAAAAATCCTTTATGGTTATAGCAAGTCTGTTCATAAACTTGATTTCTAACAGAATGAGCTACTTGGAAACCAGTAATAGAATGATTGCAACACCCACACACAATTGCAGATTAAAGACTGGATGTCATGTATTTTCTTCTAGTTTCACTCTCTCTTTCACTGGTCTGAACTTAGGTTGGCAAGACAACCACATGGGTGGAAGAATACCTGGCTCCTTAAATGTAAAGAGAGAAATGAAATGTGAATATACTCATCCTCTCTGAGCTAATAGTGAGGGGTACACGGGCTGTTTGTAAGGCCAATGTGCATGTTTGACAAGCTTGTTGTAAGGCAGGTTCAGAGCACTGAACATGTGTTTCTGTACGTGTTTTCCTGTACAAAGCCTGTGCACATGATCTCTTCTTTACCAGAGAGCTCAGAAGCTTCCTTTGCCCATGCAATTATTTACTGCATACTTCATCCTGTTATGAGGTGTAATTGTTTATTTCATCTTTTCTGTGTAGCTCATGAACTCTCTGAAGGCAGAGGCAACTTTTGAGTAATTTTTATCTCTAGCACCTGGCACTTCATAGGAGCTTCTATTGATTCACCAAAGATGCCCAGAGGCACTGGCTAGGCCCTAGAATGGGTCAGTGGGGTACAAAGTAAAAAATAGAAATAGGTCAATGAAAATAATCCTTCTGTAGTGCAAATAGGTATTATGATGGCGGAATGCATCCACTGCCTGATAGGTGGTAGGTACGCAATAATTATTTGTTTCTTAAAGAGGGCCACAGAAGCAAGTATGACAGGTGGGAACTTTGGAGAAGAGGGTTGATGCTGGAGCTGAATTTTGAATGACAAATAAGAGTTAGACAAATGAAGGGTAGTGGGGATAGGGAGAAGCCTTCCAGGCAGAGAAAATGGCACATAGCCAAAGAAGTGTGTGTTGAGTGGGGAGTTGAACTACTTTTAAACAAAAGTTCTACCTGATTCTATGTTTGTTTTCTTATTTCTCCTTTCTACAGGGCCTAGTCTTTGGCATTAATAACCACGTTAAATTAAATTTGCCTTATGCTCCACTGCTCAATTTTTATTAGGCCTCCTGCCAGATTTCCTGGAAGCTCTGCCCATAGCTGTCTTAGGCATCGGGCTGTGCTGATGTCCATGCTTATGGGCATGGTTCTCTTGTTAACTGAAGAATTTGTCTTGTGTTCCCTAGACACTATTGAAATTCCTCATTTAGTTCTTTTGGGTATGCTTGTGCCCTTTGTCCGATTGAGGAGTCTTTCACCAGGCCTTATTTTGCCTGGTATTATAGTCAACTCCAGTGATGGCTGAAAGGGAGAATTTAGGAATAGATATGTACACAAGATTCCCTGCACCCTTGCTTTCTATTACTAGCATCTTTTCTTTGTTTGTTTGTTTTGTTTTGTTTTTTAAAGAGACAGAGTCTTGGTCTGTCACTTAGGCTGGAGTGCAATGTCCCAGTCACAGCTTACTGTGACCTTGAACAACTGAGCTCAAGCAGTCCTCCCACCGTGGCCTCCCAAAATGTTGGGATTATGGGCATGAGCCACCGTGCCCAGCTCCCTTTTCCTTAATTAATTTTTAAAAAAGACATCCTAAGTTCTCATTACTTCTGTTACAAGTTACTAGGTTTTTCTCTTTCCTCAAAAGCATTGACTTAGATTTAGCCATCTCTAACAGTCCTGCTGCTTCTTCTCTTTTGTATAATTCGGCATTTGTCAAACTCTGTTCTGAGAAATGCTAGTTCCCTTAAGATGCTCTGTGAGAAAAAAGAGCTCTGTGCCCCAATGAGTTTGAAGAATGCTATATACTGTACCCCTCTCTGAGGTTCATAATGCCTACTGGCATATTAAACGCTCTGAGAAGTCCTGCACTAAATTTGTCTGATCGAGGGTTTTCCACACATATTTGACTGTAGAGTCTTCTTTGGTGGTGGTTGTAGATAGACCAAGTGTTTTGTGAAATTTGTTTTGGGAAATACATTTTTAATACCAGACATAGTCCTTTGCTGAAATTTAAGTGAATAATCTTATTCTCCCTCTTTTTGTGTGTTTTCAAATGGACCACAATCTGTATATATTTGACTGGCTGGGAAAATTTTAATTCAGGTTTAGGCATAGATTTTCCTATCATTTTTCTTTTAATT